CTCGCGCCGAGGGGAGCGGGCTGACCACGAGTGGGCAGGGGGAAGACACGACGCCTGAGCCTCCGCAGGCCAGAGCTGGACGCCCAGCCGTTGCCAGGCGCGAATCCAAGGAAGCCGCTCCCACAGTCCTCCGCGCCGCCTGGGCGAGGCCGGAAGCTCAGGGCCGGAAGTGCAGGGTTGCCGGGAACTGCGGGCTGCAGGGTCGGCGGAGCGGTTGCGGGGACTGACCCTGTTTTCGTGCTGTCCTGGATTTGCCACGTGAGCCGGGGTAATCACAGAAGGAAACCAAGGTCGTGTGAACCCCGAAGCAACCATCCCGAGAGCGGGCAACCAGAGCCTGATGTCCGGCTGAATGAAATGTGTGCTGGAGCCACCATACACGGCTTGGAAACCTTGGGAGGCTGTTTCCTGTGAAACATTGCGTAGAAAATGTATTCCTCACCCAATAAATTGTCAGATGAGCATGTCGAGGTTCTTTCTAAATACGTTTAATATGAAAAATTTAAAAAGTAAAGGTAATGTAATGCTAGGTGTGACGCACGCCTGTGATTCCATCACTTGAGAAGTGAAGAGATCAGGAATACAGGGCCAGCAGGGTGACATAAGACCCTGTATTAATAGCAAAATAACGTTTCCCTCCCGAACAAAAAGCTAGGAGTGTTGACTGAAGTCCATTATAAAAGACCGAGGTTTCCTAAGCTTGAGTTGCCCTGTGTGTCAGAAAGTAATGTGTAGCATCCACCTTACCCGCCCACGGGACACTTGGAGCTGAGTGTAGGGGACAAATTATTAGGTTGATCAGGCTTGGGCTACTTGGTATGCTTTGAAGATTAAAGCCCTTTGTCTCTGATCCACAAGTTTTGTACCAGCATTCAGAAGATAACAGTGTTAAACAAATGTGTTGTTAGCTTGCAAGCCAGATCGCCCAGGAACCAGCTGCTTCTGTTACAGACCCTTGAACTCTCAGCTTAGTCAGTATAAGTTGTTCATCTTAACCTGCTATTGTGGGCAGTTCTCCACTGAATACCTTACCATGCAGTGTCTCCTACATTCCTGGCACTTTTTGCCTTGCTAATGACAGTGGGTACTGTGGGCCTTTCTACCATCTTAATCTGCCCTTTGAAGCTAAAGCCTAGCAGTGGGGAATGAACTGACCAATTTAGGCTAACATGACAAGGTCTCCAAATTGGAAGTTCAATGAGGGAGTATGGGTTCCCCTTAAGCTTCCGTTCACCCATTCAGGGATTCTCTAGAAAGGAAAAACTCATTCAGATGCTGGACATCAAAATGATTGATGTCCACAATAGATATGCATTGCCCTCCTTGTTTGGATCCTGCCCTGGTGACACCAGATATTTTTTGTTTGCTTTGTGTTACTGTTTTATTTGTATTCTATGTTTGTGAGACAGTCTGTCTTTGTAGTCCAGGTTGGCCTGCTGTTCACTGTGTGTCTCATGTAAGCCTTGAACTCAAGCTTCTTCAGCCTCCCAAATGCATAGGTGTGTGCCCGAATACCTGGCCCACACTTGAGGTTTTGCAAATCACTGAGTAATCTCTTATCCTCAGGGTGCATTCCTCCAGTGCTTTTTCCAGTCAGTGTCCATAATCACTGCTGTATTCACTCACTAAAGTTGCTATCCCAGACTCCTGAAGACTGGGGCACCTCAACATGAGAAATGCAATCTTCTGGAGGCTGGAAGTCAAGATCAAGGAGCCAACATCTCCTTGACTTGTAGATGGGGACCCTCTTGCCTCTTTGCATGGTTGCTTCTGGTGGCTGTGGTGGCTCTGTGCATCCTGCTTTTTCTTCTCTTCCTACAATGGCACTAGTCTGGTTGAATTAGAACTCAGAGAATTTCAACAGAAGAAACTCAAATAGCTGAAAGACTGCTCAACATCCTTAGCCATCAGGGAAATGCAAATCAAAACAACTCTGAGATACCATCTTACATCTGTCAGAATGGCTAAGATCAAAAACACTGATGACAACTTATGCTGGAGAGGATGTGGAGTAAGAGGAACACTCCTCCATTGCTGGTGGGAGTGCCAATTTGTACAGCCATTTTGGAAATCAGTATGTCAGTTTCTCTGAAAATATCACTTTTGGGCATATACCCAAAAGGTGCACACTCATACCACAAGGACATTTGCTCAACTATGTTCATAGCAGCATTATTCATAATAACCAGAGCCTGAAAACAACTTAGATGCCCCTCAACGGAGAAACAGATAGAGAAAATGTGGTGCATTTACACAATAGTGGTAAAATAACAATGGCATCTTGAAATTTGCAGGCAAATGGATAAAACTAGAAAAATAAAAAGAAAAGCCATCCCTGGTAAAGTAATCCAGACCCAGAAAAACAAATATGGTATGTACTCATGCATAAGTGAATATTAGACATAAAGCAAAGGATAACCAACTTACAGTCCACCACCCCAGAGACGCTAGGTAGCAAAGAAGATTCTAAGAGAGACATATATGGATCTGCCTAGGAAGGGGAAAAAGACAAGATATCCTGAATAAATTGGGAGAGTGGGGGTGAGGGTGGAGAATGGAGGGGAGAAGGAAGGAGGGAAAAGGAGTGTAGAGGAGCAGTATGAATAATACAAACCCAGAGATGATATTGGGGTTCAAGCTGAAGATCAGAAAAGCAAAGCAGCCAGCCACTAGAGAGTTCTTACCTCTACCAAGGATAAGACCAAAGAGAGGCAATCCTGTCCTCAGAGTGACTGCAGACTGCAATGCTCTCCACCAAACTTCAGACTGTATGGAGACTGCACTGGGCTCCTGCCTCATGCTCCTCTCTAGTGGTGGGATTAACGTGTCTTCCCAAGTTCTGGGTTCAAAAGTGTGAGCTCTATTTTTCTTTTAGATGAATTCACTCTCATGTAGCCCAGGGTGGCCTTGAGCCCTCAGAGATCCATCCGCCTCTGTCTCTGCTGGGATTAAAGGCGTGGCCACCACTGCCTCTCCTCTTCGGCTAACTAGTGGCTTAGTGTGTGTGTGTGTGTGTGTGTGTGTGTGTGTGTGTGGCTAACTAGTGGCTTAGCTCTGCACTCTGATCTTCAGGCAAGCTTCATTTGTTAGATTACAAAGAAAATATCACTATAGAGAGGAGAACATGAGGGAACAGGATGGTCAGGTTGGGGAAAGGACAGAGAGAGACAGCAAGGAAAGAATTATCTCGATAGAGGGAGCCATTGTGGGGTTAGTGAGAAACCTGGCACTAGGGATATTCTCAGGAATACACAATGATGACCCCAGATAAAAATCTAAGCAATAGTGGAGAGGGTGCCTGAACTGGCCTTCCCCTGTAAACACATTGAGGACTACTGTAATTGCCATCATAGAACTTTCATCCACTAACTGATGGAAGCAGATGCAGAGATTCACAATTATCCACTGGGCAGAGCTCCAGGACTCCAGTTGAAGAGAGTGAGAAATGATAATACGAGCAAAGGGGTCACGGCCAGCCATGATGGGAAACCCCACTGAATCAGCTGACTGGGGCTAGAAGGAACTCACTGACTCCAGACTGACAGCTGGGGAACCTGCATCGATCCAAACTGGGCCCCCTGAATGCAGGTGACAGTAGATGATTTGAGGGGTCACTGGCAGTAGGTCTAGGCTCCATCCCTAGTGTGTGAACTGGCTTTTTGGAGCCCATTTCCTATGGAGAGATACCTTGCTCAGCCTAGACACAGGTGGGAGGGCAATGGTCCTGCCTTAACATGGTGATGGGACAGACTTCATTGACTCTCCATGAAAGGCCTTACCCTCTCTGAGTAACAGATGAGTGGTGGGGTGGGGGAAAAGATGAGGGAAGCAAGAGGAAGGAAGGGAGGGGGAACTGGAATTGGTAATGTAATAAATAAAATAAATCTTAATGAAATTCATTAGTATGTATAAATAATTTACTCTGATAAAGATTGCAAAAGAAGCTTTAAAAAATATCAGACAACAAAACAAAACAAAACAAAAAAAAAATAAAGCTAAAAATCCAAAAACCCAGAAGGGTTGGGTAGTGGTGAGTGGTGGCACACACCTTAAGTCCCAACACTCAGGAGGCAGAGGCAGTCAGATCTATGTGAGTTCAAGGCCAGTTTGGTCTACAAAGCTACACAGAGAACCCCGTCTAGAAAAAAAATAAATAAACATCAGAAGGTGGTAACCTAAGTTTCCAGCAGAGAGCGGTACAGAGCAAAGGGAAGAAGTGGCCTGGTGTGAGAATCATGAATGCAGCCTATTGTAGAGACATGAATGGAGGCCACTGTGGTGTCGGGGCACAGGGACTTCTGCTTTGCATCATTTGGCTGACCTGTGAACAACTGTGTCTTCCACTTTCATGACTGTGAAGCTGAGAAAGAAAGAAATTGACACTAGAAGTTTGCATATCACTTTTTATGTAGTATAATAAAGACACTTCTGTGTGGTTTTTCAACATATTTTTTTGAAGAAAAAATATTTGCTTATTTTCCTTTTTGGATGGAGTGCCCAACCTGGCATAATGTTAGGCACAGGGTCTATCATTGATTTACATCCTCAGCCCAAGAATGTCTTTAAACCATCCCTGACCATAGCCTGGGTTTCTAGAGTCACTGAATCCCCATCTTCAGCATAAGCTTAGCAAGGTTTTAAATAAAGCTTTGTTAATTATCACATTAAATAGAAATAAGCAGCTAATGAGACAAAACTTTTCAATTTATTTGAGAAAAGGACATTTTTATACAGAAAGAGCTTGAGAGATCACAAAGGGGTCCTATGTGACTCAGGCTGGCCCCAAACTTGTGATCCTCCTGCCTCAGCCTCCCAGGATATATGCCACTACCACTAACTGAGGAAGGTTTGTAACAAAGACTTCTCAACACAGTGTTAGGCTTGGAGGAGTGCTGGGCTTGCCCAAGAGAGCTAAGGTGATGGAAAGCGCATTTAAGTCTGGGTTTCCATTCTTTCTTCAGCATTAATATTTCAGCACTGTGCATCTTTACCTAAGTCCTTTCTTGATCTGGAATCATCTTTTTACCTGTGAATTTGCGGGGGCAGACTTGACCTACCAACCCCCTGACAGCTTTTGTGTTTTTGACCTCATCTGTCTTTTATTTACTTACCAGGAAAGCAGTTTGA